CAGCTAAAGAAATCTGAAACAAATTAAAAAAAACAAACCAAAAAAACATATGTACCTGAGTCATAGAACATGGAGATGCTCAGCTGGTACTCAACTAAAAGCTTCCTCTTAACTAGCTAGCTTTCATTGTGTGGGAAGGTCCTATGCAAACTATCAGAGAAAAGTAATCATCAATCCCATGCTAAGTTGCCTTCTAAATATTTCTGTTTATACCCAAGACCTGTGCTGCTCTTAGCTTTGCTCAGGGAAGGTTCTTTGTTTCTTCTTATTTGCTTGTTTGTAGTGGATAGCAGTCAATGGAAAGATGTATAACTGGTCAGTTGGAGAGCTAAGAATAAGAAACTGAATGGTCAACTCTAAACAGGACATCTGTATTAACCCCCAACTAATACCACCACTAGCAGCATCGTCAAAACCACCACCACCGCCGCTGCCACTGCTACCACCACCACCAAATCTCCAAAAGTGCCACACAGAAGAGACAGAATGTTAGGGACAGACAATAGGGAGGAGTGAGTCCTCTGAATTGCTGTCTTGAGAACATTACATAGCTGTCATAATCATAAACTCACATCATCTGTGGTTACTGTTAGTATTCAGGCATCAGGTATTGGCCTGGGGTTCTGACGAATACACCCTCAGCTGCAGCCACTAAGAATATCACCTGTGCATATTCACTATGTTCTCTATGCTCCCTTTTAAAAGGGCCTTGGCCACCTCCCACCTCTCTCTCTCTCTCTCTCTTTCTCTCTCTCTCTCTCTGTCTCTCTCTCTCTCTCTGTCTCTCTCTCTCACACACACACACTCTCTCTCTCTCTCTCACACACACACACACACACACACACACACTGTGCGTGTATTCCTTTCTCTCTCTCTTTGCTTCTCTTCCTGTCTGTCTCTCTCCCCTTCTATCTGACTCTCTTTTCTCTTCTACTATCCTGTTCCCAGAAGCCAATCTCCCCTTCTCCTCTATCCTTTTCCCATTCCCTTTCCCCTAATAAAAGAAAAACTCTCCAAGTGACCTCTGTCATATGGTGTCTTTCTCTTGTGCACTGCTTTTTAAAATTTTAGCAGTTACCCCCTATAAGAACTGCACAAGAGCTTTCAGGTAAACCCATCATAGATGGGGTAAAGATAATCTGTAGGCCCCATCCCTTCTATGATAATGTTATGGGAAGTGGATAGTTGCTAGGGGAGAGGAGAACATTCTTGAGGGCATGAGAGCTAACAGATGGTCCTACTCTCTTACACATTTTGACATAAGCAATTGAACTTAGTAGGTTATAAAAAAAAGGCATGAAGTTGTGAAGGAGCATTATGGGAGCATGTGGGTACACTGCATGGGAATTGGGGATAGACATGATCATAAGTCATTGTATACATGTATGAATTCTCAAGAATAAAAAAATAAGTATTTAATATCACTAATCATCAGGAAAATACAAATCAAATCCAATTGTGATATTGCTTTATATCTGTTACAATTGCTGTTTCCAAAGTAAATCACAACTCTTGGAAATCATGTGGAAGGAAAAAAAGAAATCCTGATATATTGTCCAGTGAAATGCAAAACTGTTATAGAAGCAGAATGAATATTCCTCAAAAAAAATTAAAAATCTACCATGTCACTAGTATATACCCAAAGGAATTTAAAAAATTATACTGAAGAGATATCAGCATTTTTTTGTCATTGCTGCTTTATTCTCAACAGCCAATATATACAACCAGGCTAAATATTCATCAATGAATGCATAAAGAAAATACAGTGTGACTCTGTAACAGGATACAGTCAATTGCATTACACAGAGGAATCTGAAGCACAGTATTGTCTGTGAAATCAGCCAAGAACAGATAGACTAATAACCCTAATCTTTGTTGTATGTGGAAGCTGAAGAAGAGATCCCAAGCAAAGCAGAGAGCAGAAAGGTGGACACCAGGAGCTTGGGAGTTGAAAAGAGGAGATACAGGAAAAGGTTCAGTTACATGGCAGGAGTGTGTCGTGAAGATCCAGTGTCCAGCATCCTAACTACCATTAAAATAAATATTGAGTGCTTAGAATTTGCTAAGACTGGAGATGTTAAATGTTCTCAGCTACAGAAAAACAAAGGTCACCATGTGATAAATATGTTGGTTAGCCTGCCCATTGCCATTTCACATTGTATATGGTAGCTAAAGTTTGTGTTGTATACTTTAAAACATGCATTTTTATTTATGAATTATATCTCAATAAGATACATTTTATAACATGACATAATATCCCAAAAAACAAAAGTCTTAATTTTTGCACCCATCTATATAGAAACAATAAAATCCCCTTTACAGAAAAACTAAAGAAAACATTTCAAAACCTATAAAGTTAAGTATCTATTGAGCCTTTATTGAATATTCAACTCTCTACTGTGTGCCAAGAACAGAGAGAGAGAGAGAGAGAGAGAGAGAGAGAGAGAGCAGACATGTTGGTGTCTGACATGAAATGGGAAATCTGCCCAACAGGATAATAATCTACACTTATGAGGCAATTCGGGAAACCTTCTGATAATATACAGCTGTTAGGTGGGCATAGCATTTGATCTACGCAAATTTAGGGACAAAACATGTAAATGCTAAGAAACTTTCTATTGGAGAGTGAATTTTGTATAGATTAAATAATTCTCCCAAAAGGCACTGTAGAAATCTCTGAAAGGAGGGAGCATAATCCCTTGTGGGGAGAGGAGAAAGAATGTGGTTGAGTAGCAGGCAATAACCGGATATCATGGTAGACAGGTAAGTGCCAAGAACTAGAGAGATCAGGAAGCAAGGAAGATTGTGCATGCCCTAATCTCTAGGGAGGAACACCATGAAATTTATTATTTAGGAAAATTAATTTCCTGAAGCCATTAGAGCTTCCAAATAATGCGTAGGTCCTGAGGACTGAGAGCAGAAATTTACTGCCAAAGGCAAAGGAGTTCCATAGAAAGAACAGAGTTGAGCCAAAGTTCATCTGACAGAAGGTAGAAGAAAGGAAAGGGGATTCTACTGTTCTGTCCTTCACCTTCTGATGGAACTGTTTGGTCCAGGACCCCCTCCCACCTAGCTGAAGGGGTCACTAAAAGGTCAAGGGTTAGATGTTCTAATTAAAGGAAACTTGCAGGAAAGATAAGGCTAAATTGTCTTCCCTGCCTCTTTGCTGTGTCCCAGCTCAAACAGAGCTAGTTAGGAATAGCCCCAGCAAAGAAGGGTCTGTGCACTGCAAAGCTAGTGGGCCAGGATAAGGAAAGTAAAGCCCAGAGATATGAAGTCACAATAAATCAAGGTCTCTGGGTACGGTTCTGAGTACCCCAATGTTCCCTTAGATCCTTTTTAAGTACAAATATAAGAATTACATAATGTAAAATTATCTGGAGACTTTCCCCAAACTCTCACAAATTCTACAATAACCAGCTTGTCTGGCAAATGTCAGTTCTTTCCACACTTCAATTCCCTTGACTCCCTAAAGAATGTCCTAATTCCCTGGCCAGAGAAGCCAGTCAACAGGCTAGTGAACAGTTTATCCACACAGCCTTGCTCTGTATGACAGTCACACTGCAAGTCACCTATGGAGCTTGACAATGGGAGATGTGAAATTTCCAGAAAACCGGAGACCCACCAGGTAGTTTCTGTGATCTCATCTCCCATAAGAACTCCTAATCACCTCTCCAGAGGAATCATGGAGGTTTCACAGTTTCCCAACATCCTAATAAAAAAACAAAAAGGGGGATCTCTTTCATTTCAAAGTGCCCTAAAATCCCTAGATTCCAAACAGCCTCTTAAAAAATGCACTTTCTAAATCTCTGCCACTTGCTTAGCTGGCTCTAGGCAGAAGAAATAAGAAGTCAAGCAGGATGGAGTCTTTGAGATGAAAATGAACTCTCTAAGTGTTGAGGTGGGGCAAGTTAAACAATGATTGAGAACACTGTGAAACAGATCAGTAAAGTTAGCACTGAGGTGAAAACACAGCCTGGTGGAAATGAAACTGTGCAGGGAAAGTAATTACTTCCCCTCTGGACTCCCTCCTGAATCATAAAGACTGTAGTAATGGGGAGGAGGTAGCAGAGAAGGGTTGGGGAGTGGACTCCTGACTTCACAGTCTGCTCTCTTTCCAATGGCCAGTTGCACAAATGAGCTATCTGTAAGAATTAGATCAGCAACTCAAATGAAGAAGTTTGAGCTTTCCTTCCCTCCTCCCACCCCACCCCACCCTGCCACTGTTGGCAAAACAAACTCTTTCCTTATGGCTCAGGTGCTTAGCTTTTGTTTACATTCTCTGTGATTTCAAAGCAAGAACAAATATAGTAATTATTGGTCATTTAATCTCCCAGGGGTTTCACTTTACAGTTTGGTAACCATATTAGTCACTACTGCATTTTTTAGAGCCAAAGGCCAGGACCCCCATTCATGTCCCTCCTCCATTCCTTTCTTTCTTGTTCCCTCATGACCTCCTGGTCCTTCTCTTATTCCTACTGCACTCAATCCTTCTCTTCCAGGTTTTAACAGAGCTTTATCTACACCATGACAAATACAAAGAAAAAGGAATTTTTGCTTTAAGAAAAATAACACCGCCCACTTTCTCAATTTTTACATTAAAAGCCATTCTCTTCTACATTTGGAGAACTGTTGGTTCTCTGAGGAAAGGAAAGAAAGTGGTTAGTTTAGAGGTAAAAGCCCTTAAAACCAGGCAATTGATATTTGATTTGATGAAATGTGTTTGTCTGAGGAGGAACATTTCTAGTTCTGAACCTTGTATTTAACTCTGAACTGGTAGAAATATAAGTTTTGAATTTCAAGCTACTGAAGCATCATTTGAAATTCTGAGCATTAATTTGGTGATCTTTATGGTGCTGGCTATTGTTGGTAGTCATTGACTTGGTCATTTCTTAGAGAATGGAGAAACAAGAAGCATGTTTAGTGTCTTATACTAGAATTATATGTAATGAACACATTGTTAATGTTCTCCTGTGCCTTCTTGTGTTAAGGTAAGGATCTTGACACATAAACCTTGGTCAATAATTTCAACTGAAAACCCCTACTCATCAAAGAACATTATTCTGAAGACTTTCTCCACACCATCTATCATGGGCAAGAGAGTAGCCATTGTTGGAGCTGGTGTCAGTGGCTTGGCTGCAGTACGGTGCTGTCTGGAGGAAGGGATGGAGCCCATCTGCTTTGAAAGGAGCAATGATGTTGGAGGCTTATGGAAATTCTCGGTAAGTGGTCCAGCTCTAGGACACGAGAGGTAGAAAGGTGGTTTCCATTGCAAATCACATCTGATCAGTTCTCATTCAGACCTGAAAGCCATGCCACTAAAGTCCCAGGTCTGGAAAGTTAAATTTTACTTCTCCTCTCCCACCAATATTTGTTCCATCAAAACTACTTCACACCAGCAGGGCTCAACTTAGCTGAACCTTAAAGGATGTCCTCAAAGAAAGCAGATCATTTTATGATGTACTTCTAGTCTTTAGCTCACCAACAACACCATGTTCTGTCTGGTGGAGTCCAACTCTCCAAGTGATAGAGTAGTAATGTCTGTAACCAGGTAAAAATAATACACAGCCACCTTGTTGTATACTTGCAATGATTCTGTCATTTTTTCCTTTTAAATCTCAGCAAAACAGTTTGAAAAATCTTGACTAGAATCAAGTTCTGAGTTCTATTTCCAACTCAGGTTTTATAGGCAGATCTTAAGGAAGGTGACTACCATACTCTCGAGCTCAGGTACTCATCTGTCAGAGATTGAAAATTAGGTTACCTCTAATGTGCTTTGCAATTCCAACTATGATCTTATGACTAACTGCCTCCCTAAGCAGTTATAAATTATTATAAATGTTGATTGTGAGTGTGGTTATTTGATTGCCTGTCAATTCTAAATCTGAAGAGAAAAATTAAGATCTTTGCCATCTAGTCTTAAAAACAATATGGCCATAAAATGTTCTATATAAATATAGCATTTAAGTTTCAAAGCCAGATCTGGGAGCACTCCTTGATTTTCTGTCTTGAATTTTCCAGTCAATCGTGACTGCATGTAAGTGACACATATTTTTTGGCTCAAAGAGAGTGTATCCATGACACTCATCATGTAACCATCTTTCTCTGATTCCAAGTCAATTCTTGCCCACCTGCAAAAAAACAACTATTTCCTCTGATAGAGAACTTAATACTAATTTTGAATTCATGATGTATTCATTTCATGAGACTTTTCTGTAGTTTTTGTTCCTGTTAAATGCAAAATATTATGAGATATATAGTCATAGATTTTTGTTTTCTAATCTGGAAATAAGATTTTTTAGAGAATTCCATTTTCTTTATATCTGTCCAGAGAAGTGTCACAAGCTTAGCATAACATGATTGTCTACAATCTCATCAGCCATAGCTAGAAGCTACACCAGCTTTGGATGTGCCTGTTTTGTGCTATCAAGTAGGATGAGAAACATGACATAATCATTTTTCTACATGTGAGGCATCCAGTCTGCTGATGAAGGGAGTCAAAACTTAAGTTCACAACACTTTGATATCAAATAAACAAGAACTTATTTGAGAGCAATATCTTTCATGGGGTAATGATGGAAACAATCTGTCCATGAGGTATATAATGGAACCAGTCTGGAAAACAGAATATATTCTAAGAGTCATTGTAGCTATCAGATTATTAAAACAGTGAAACTCAAGAATTTGGGTTTTCTCCAGAATCTCAAGCTGAGAGAAGAAAAGCCTGGGCTATTCAGGAAATAAGCTCTTCTGTAGAGGAAAGAGCTTTACAGCCTTACAGAGATAATGGGTCAACAGTGGGTGGAACCAGGTCTTCACCTGAACTGCTTAAATAGCTGTGTGGCTGATCCTCTGTTTAAACATTAGTCTTATTTTAAGACTCTGAAGATGAACTGGAGTGGTGGGATAACTGGACCTTCCCTTTTTCTGATTTTTTACTATTAACTGGCTGGTCTAATTGGCTTGTTGAGGGTAAGTGAACATACCTGGTTTCTTGGGCCACATACTATGACCCAAAGTTCAGTAACAGTGAAGCAAAATAACAAAGCCAAGTTTTTATACAGCTAATTCCCCTTTTTAAATTTTATCATGTTTGATTCTAGATAGGTACTCCAGATCTTATGAGGAGACTATGAATAATAATTCAAAGACAAAAATACAATCTATAAAATAAGTGTTGCAGATAAAAAGTTGTTGACAAGTACCCTTCAATTACTGTCAACTCAGTGAATAAAATGCTACTGAAATTGTCATAAGTCAGAAGAGATTTCCTCCAAGGTAGCTAAATCTTAGTGAATGTTGTCAAAGGAAATAGATCACTACACAATGCAGTTCCAGAGTGTCATTCCCTTCGTGTTCTGTGTGCAGTGCCTACTGTCATGTGGGTATACTGGCAATGTGCCAATGCCAACATCATAAGAAAAATCAGCAACCCACGAAATGTCAGCAGCATCCAAGAAGAAATCTATGAATTAGCCATTATCATCACCCCAGGAAGTTAATGTAAGGAAGCAAAAGGTGATAGTTTACTAAGATACAAAGTCAGACTCTGGTTGTCCACAAGATAGAATGTCTCTTTTCTATCAAGTTATGCATATAAGCAAAATTCTACTCAGGGTCCCAGTGGCAGGGATGTGAATACATTCAAATGCTTGAAACTTTAGCCTCCTCTGCTCATCCCCAAGCCTTCTTTCTTTGCTAATAAAAGTTGCTTTGTACCATGTGCACTCAGACAGGAATTTTTCAAAAAAATGTGTTACATAAGCTTTCATCTTGCAAGCCCCTGCTGTGCAAAAGGTGTGCTGGAAGACAGAAACCTGATCATTCTGAACTTTTCACTGTGTGCTTTTTCTAAGAAATGGAAACCAAATGGGCTTTAAAGAATGGCAGATTAAATGTGAATGAGTTTTAAGTTTCATACATTCATGTAGGACATCACGTCCTCAAAAGACTTGGTTTTACAGTAAGAAATTTCTCCCATGTATGTACAAACCAGGCTTGACCCTGCTGAACTTTGGTGCATTTGGGATAATATGGCTGTAACTGGTGTGCTGAAGATGAAAATATTCTAAGGAGACACATATTCCCCATTCAGACTGTGAAAAAAATGGACACCCCATAATGGAAATGTCTCCCAGAAATCATGCTGGGAGAAGGAAAATGCTGGAAACCATTGTCTCTCTGGAAAGAGATTTGATGGCACTGACTGCATCTAACTTTGCTAGCCCACCTTGCATGATGAAACAGAAGCAAAGACAATGATGGGTCAATAGATTCCACTTTGTCCTGTACCACTTAGATGTACATAAACTTTAATTTTACTTCAGGACTTGGACTAGAGGAGGTCATCTGATCTCATTGTCCTTCTTACTATTAGTCTCATTGACTATTAGTAATTTCTGTTTTTTCCTGCTCATTTTGCTGTTTCAATTGGCTTCTGGAGAACAGGTTGCTGAACTTGCCTTTTTGAGGTACAAATTATAAACCCAAGTTTGGCAACATGATCATACACAGCAATTGCATTTTTCTCAGCAAACAAGCAGTAGATTTGCATCATTTCGGTTGATTAAAAAGGAAAACTATAGAATCAGAATAATCTGAATTTTATTTTTTACACTTTCTTATTCACATATTTACTCAATGGATACAACCTAAGTGCATACAGTACTGTGTTAGGCAAAGTAGCTTCAAGTAATAAGTACACGAGGAAGCCAGTGTTTTATAATTTTCCTTTATTTTTAAGAATTTCATATCTACCTCCCATTCCCCTTCCAGCCCCCCATATGCCTTCCCAACTTTATGCTTTTTAAGTAATACACTAAGTCATTAATGCTGCCCATAGGTTCAGTGGTGTGGGGCCAGTCACTGAAATATGAGGAAAACTACCAGTGGCCACAGAAATAAAAATAACTATGATATACACAAATATGTTGTTAGGACAATAAAGACAACAGAAGTTTGGTGGGCACAGGGATGGCTGACAGTTGATGAGGTAGAAAAAGAAAGCAAGTTGAGGGAAACAGCTCCAAAACTGGAACTGGAAAGTTTATTTAAACCATCAGAAATTCAACAGATATGCAGAGATGAAATATGAGAGGCAGTAAAGACAGACTGATAAAAGCTCACAAAGAACACTCTGGAATTCACCTCTGGCCTTGTCCTCAAGACACTTGTGACCTAGAACAGAAGAGGGGAGACGTTGAAGCTCTAGACAGGAAGACAATGCACCCATGCTTGCTGGTCTCTAGTCCCAGGACACAGTCTCTCAGCCTAAATCCAGAGTTGATGCTTAATTCCCTCCTGACTGATTCAGACCACCTTGCATATTGAAATAATGAAAAGTCATGCTTTTTGATGCAACTTTCTGTCGGTGTGCATCTCTCTTATTTGAAGAACAGCCTCTAAAGAAAATTCTAAGTTACCTTCCCATGTTAGGATTGTCTAGAACCAATTCAGGAAAACACATGGACTTATTCAACCTGAAAATACTTCCAGGCCATATCATCTCTTTTTTCAGAGCAGTTTTACACTTTTAACCAATCCCTGGTCCACAACAAGACCTCCTCCTTTCAGTGGGCAGCTGAGAAATCTCCTCCCCTCCTTGCCTCACAACTGTGAGTGAACAGCAATTAACTCAGACCTCAGAACCTGCCAGGCAGGAGCTTTCACCTTTTTCTGACCTCCATAAACATTTGCAAGCAAGTCTTTAAAAAAAAAAAAAAAATCTGGGCCTAGAAATTTATGAGAAATGTAGCAACCATGGATAGAGAAAGAGTATTTTCTCAACTTGAGGAGAGACACTGAGGCCTCAGGCTGAACCCTTCCCTCCCAAAGACACAGACCTGTCTATCTTGTCTCCCAGAAGCTAGCCAGGGTGATTAAGAGATGGGCATCTTAAATCAAGCAACAACGTGACATTGTACGCCTCCCCTCTGTTACATAAGAATTCCTTCAGGCCTTGGGGACATAGAGACTGCCAGCTTTGAGATATGTTTTCAAGGCAGCACCCTGTGTACACTTTATTCTGTCCACACAAGAGAGAGGAAATGTTTATTTTCAATTTAGCTTCCGACTGCTTCTCAACAAGAAGCTACTTTTCAATTACACAGTGGCTTTAAAATGGAATGCCAAGAAGTGACCCATGTTCTACATCCTGTGGTTTCTTGTGGATTTTTGTTTATTGGAAGAGCGAATTCCCATAGCTGATGAGTTAAAGGCTGCTCAGGCCCAGAATTCATTTACAGCAGAGTTTCACACAGTATGGTCTTAGTATCAGCCATACCAGTATCCCCTGCCACTTCTTAGAAGTACAAATTCTCAGGCCGTACATTGGAGGCAGGGAATCCAAAAATTTTGGAAGAGAAGGCCAGGAATCTGCAGTTGGGAGGGGTGGGGGTTCTTGTGATTCTGATTGCATCCAAGTGGATAAACCATTTGCACACTAGGTCTTGTGGCTGGTATCAGTGTCCATGTAACAACCACATTTAAGAGAAAAGCCTCACACTCCTTTGGACGAATGTATTCTTGTTCTTTTCAAGGTGAGAATGCTATCAGAACTAGTGATAACACAGTAAAAAAAATAAGAAAAATGCTGAGAGACTATAAAAGGACTAACATGAAGTTACTTAGGGAAAAGAAGGAAGGAAAGTTAATGTGAGAGGAGATCAGCTCTGTACAGTTCCATGTAAAGGGCCTTCTATTCTATATCTGAAAAAAAACTTTTTCATACATTTTACTGAAAATAATTTTTAATCCAATACATTCTGATTAAGTTTTCCTTTCTCCCAACTCCTCCCACATCTCTTACACCTCCCCATCTACCCAACTCTACATCCTTCCTTTGTCTCTCTTTAGAATGCAAACGGGAACAAATAAAACCAGACTAAAAAGAAGAAAAACACACACACATAAACACAAACAAAACCCATTAAATCAGAATCAGAAAACATAATATAGAAGCAGAAGATCAGTAAGGGGAAAAAAAACAAAGCCAAACACAGCAACATAGGACAAAAATCACTGGATTTTGTTGTTGTTGTTGTTGTTGTTGTGTGTGTGTGAGCAGTCTACTTCTGGGTGTGTGTAAAATCTGCCCTTAAGTGTGGTTAATATAGCCAGTGAGACTCAACTGGAGAAAATCAGTAAATGTTATTATTAAAAGGGGTTTTGCTCCTACTAGGTTGCCTCTTCCAGCCTTTGTTTGAAAAGCCATGCTCAGTTTTACTATAACTTGATAGTTGTGTTTGGTTGATATCCCCAGGAAGTTTGCTCTCCTCTGAAGAGAAAGGAGGAGTGGATCTGGGAGAGGCGGGGGGGGGGGGGGAGAGCAGAAACTGCAATGTAATATATGAGAGAAAAAAAAAGACAGCTAAAAAGAGAGGGTGTTGATTAACCAATAATTGAATGATCTCAGAAAGGAGACCCATTTTTGGCTTTACAGTTTTGTTATTTTTTCCTAGGGCCACGCAGAGGAAGGAAGAGCCAGCATTTACCAGTCAGTTTTCACCAACTCTTCCAAAGAAATGATGTGTTTTCCAGACTTCCCCTATCCTGATGATTTCCCAAACTACATGCACCACAGCAAGCTCCAGGAATACATAAAGTCATTTGCTCAGAAGAAGGGCCTTTTAAGATACATACAGTTTGAGGTAGGACCTTGTACCCAGTACCACTTGTATTATATAAATGAATCCGAGAAGATGAAGGACACAGCATCCAACAGCATGTGTCTTGATGCCTCACCAGTCAGTAGTTCTGTTAGACTACAGAGCATTTATGAACTTCCCCCACCCACTTCTTCCCAGAAACTTTTTAAATACATTTTTAAAATGCTGGATACAGATTATTATCATAGCAAAGTTCCTTACTTCACTCTCTTATGCTTGAAAAATGACCCAAAATTCTGTAGTGCATATTTAAACTCCTGTGGGTTCAATATCAATGAGTTATGCATTGTCCAATCAAATGTGGCATTTATTAGAAATTATGACATTATGAAAGAGTAACAACTTAAAGGAGAGCTTTCATTTACCCACTTTGTCCTTAATATTTCTCCTTAATGAGTCTTAGAAGTGTTATGAAATAGAGTCATTGTTTCTGTAACTGGCAGCAGTGTTTTATAGTCGTTTGAAATCCCTGTCTTAATTAATTAGCGTTAAATGAAAAGTGCACACATATAGTGGAGGAAACACTGACAAAATTATGACTTGAGGCTATATTTACATAATTGTTTTCCCTGGCATAGTTCCAAATATATAGCTCCAATTTCCAGCTATCATATTTTCAAATTTCTTAAATGATAAAAAGAAAGGTTTATTGAGAAGTAAAGAAACAGCTGCCAGCATCTGGAGAGACTCAAACAGGAGTTGCCCTCAAATGTTCTTTTATTACATTTATCTACTCATTGCATCCATTCATCTATTTGTGGAATTCCAAATGTCAAAAATTGCCTTGATTTATAGCAGTAATATCTATAAACATTAGTCATGCTCCTAATACATGCTTACATCATGCTGTTGTTATATAGAAAGAGAGAGAAGAAAGGGGAGGGACAGAGGAAAAGAGGGAGGGATGGGGAAAGAAAGATGAAGAAAGAAAATACTGAAAGAAATAAAGAAACAACATTATAGAAAAAACATAAAAGTAATTCTTTATTCTCATTTTCTTTCAGACCCTGGTTTCCAGTATAAAGAAATGTTCTAGCTTCTTGGCCACTGGCCAATGGGTGGTTGTTACTGAAAAGGATGGGAAACAAGACTCTCTGCTCTTTGATGCTGTAATGATTTGTTCCGGGCATCATGTGTACCCCAATATGCCAACTGACTCTTTTCCTGGTAATCTTGAAAAAAAAAAAATAATAATAATAATGGGATTTTTAGGTAAATATGTAGGGTTGAAGCATATTTTTCCACAATAATTGTGTTTAAATTACCAGAAAAACACAAAGAAAAAATATTTATGTGTGATGATATGAAAAATATAATAATTTGTTCCCTAAGCTCTGAAGTTCAAAGACTGTATAAATTAGAGATAGACAGATATGAGTTCTTAAGTCACGGATGATAATGCAAATTTAAGTCCTAACATACATGCGGTCTTTGAACACTCATACCCCAAAACTTGAGGTGCTGCCAGATAATTACAGTAAGATTCTTGTTTTATCTTAATTTACAATTTACAAGGGTTTTTTGTTTTGTTTTGCTTCTTTACTATACACTTTATAGTGCACTGTGGAGAGAAATTAGGGCAGGACCTCAAGACAGGAACCTAGAGGCAGGAACTGAAACAGAGATCATGGAGAAATACTGTTTATGGGCTTGTTCCTCATGACTCACTTAACTTGCATTTTTACACAGTCCAAAACCACCTGCCTTGAGGTATCACTGCCCACTATAGGCTGGATCCTCCAATATCATACATTAATCAAGAAAATGCTCCAAAAACTTACTTATAGGCCAATCTGATGGAAGTATTTTCTGAATAGAGGTTCACTCTTCCCCCAATGATCCAGCTTGTATTAAGTTGACAAAAATACTAGCCAGTACAGATGCTGTCCAAAAATTAAAAAGATCAAAGAAACATACTCAAAAATCTTCCTGCCCTCTAATCCCATTTTTCTTTCTCCCTCCCTCCTTTCTCCCTCCCTTCTCACTTCCTTCTATTCTCTCCCTCCTTCCCTTCCTCCCTCCCTTTGTGCCAGTACTTCATCATTTAACACATATAGCATGTACCACCCAGGGATAATATAGCTGTTAAATTGTTAAAAACAGATTAAACATTTAGCATATGCAATAGCCCTTAGACAGTATTTAATATATTTATTATTATTATTATTATTTAAATGGAAATAATAATATCTCAAAAATTTTAAGATTCCCCAAAAGTAATCATTTAGGAGTTTACTAGCAAAGCTCACCAAATGGGTAAGTGCACTTCAACTATGGGATTCTTCTTTTAAGTGTGGAATCTAAGTCTTCAAATTTTTGAAAATCAACTTAGGCCTAGAGCACTTTCAAGGCAAGTGCCTGCACAGCCGGGATTACAAAAGCCCAGGAGATTTCCAGGGAAAGAGAATCCTTGTGATTGGCCTGGGGAACTCAGCATCTGACATCGCTGTTGAACTCAGTCGTCTGGCTACACAGGTATGTGACATAGAGGGTTTTAGGAAACTAAACTTGGTTGGAAATATGCCACAAAGTCAGCACTAAAAGCTGGAGAAGGGATTTCCATGCATATCATCTGTTTTATGAGACCTTCCAATAATGAGGATTTGAGTCAACCATTCTTCCAGAGAGGGAAGACAGTCTTCCTTGATATGAAGAAGTTGTTCTGATAAAAATGGAGGCAAATGTGTGTGTGTGTGTGTGTGTGTGTGTGTGTGTGTGTCTATGTAAATATTTATATTTTTTGTTCTAATTTTATATTGTAAGAACTTTCAAATCAGTTGGTTCTTAGTCACGCTCTGTCTTTATTTAACATTTCTTACTACCTACCATGTGAAAGACACTGTTTCCCAGTCTAAAGATCTGAAGCATCACATTATCTGGCTCTTATCATTTATTCATTCACTCATTCAAAAGCAAGCATTTAAAAAATATGGAGCAATATTATGTGTCAGAACTATGTTAAATTAAGCTTTAAAATATGGGTTAGACTAGATTGTGACTTTAAGGAACAATCAGTGGGTGGAGAAGGGGTGATAGGTATGTAAACCATCTCCAAAGGAAGTGTTGAGTCTCCTCATGGAATTAGGTGTGACATCAAGAAAGACAACCTAACTTAACCTGGACAAAGTCATGGAAGACTTCCAGGGGATTCAAGTTATTCTGACTAGTAGACCCTGGAGAATTTCAGTGTATTTTCAAGAAAGCTGATACTAAATAAGTTAATTTCTAAATGAATGGAAAGAAAGCTTTGTTGTTATTGTTGTTTTAACTAAGACTCCCCCTAAGTTATTAGAAAGACAGTGAATATACCAGCAGTTGACCTGGCAGGCTGAGACAGCTTCCATAGCTTGGGATGAACAGATGCTCTTTGTGCATGTACCAGGAAGACTAGAAAAGGGGAGGGACAGACAACAGCATTAACTCTGTGGCATCTCCTCAATCTAATTTCAGCTACCTATTTCCCCAACTCTTCTACTATCCACAGCTGCTAGGGCTCTCAATTTACTGGTCTCTACTAGCCATCTTAGTCTATGAGCCACAAAAAAATTAAGCCAAGCACAGGTGACTATAGAGGCTTCTTATGCCAGGTGTTGTGGTTACAATTCTTTGAACAGCTTTACATCAGTCCTTCAGGGTGGTGAGGGAGGACTCTTGTCTCCCTCTAGCTGCAAAGGTAGGGTGTTCATTTAGACTCACCTCTTAGGAAATGTTCCTAACTGGATATTGAAGGAGACATACCGATACCCTCCAGGGAACTGTGTTGTGTTTACTTATGTGTCACAGAAGTATGTTGAAATCTGTACTGTCTCTCCCAACCAGGTCATTATCAGCACTAGAAGTGGTTCCTGGGTCATGAGTCGGGTTTGGAATGATGGGTATCCTTGGGATATGGTATATGTTACCCGCTTTGCAGCCTTCCTCCGGAATGTCCTTCCTTCATTTGTCTCTGATTGGCTATATGTCAAGAAGATGAACACATGGTTTAAGCACGAGAACTATGGCCTGATGCCTTTAAATGGGTATGACAAATAGTACATATTTTATCGTTCAATCTAGGAGAGTACTGGCTCAGATTACTTATTTATAACTGGGTCTTACTTTCATTATCCCACTAAGTCTAATGGAATTAAATTAAGAATTTCTCAGATGACACAGTTTAAACCAAAGACCATGTGCAGGTCTCAACTTATAAATTAGTTGAGAAATGTGTGTGGATATGCAAAGCGAAGGTAGGTGAGGTAAACTGATCACCCTGATAAGCAGAATTCATTTAGCTACAATCCATTGCATCGAATTTAAGGGTTGAACAATCCCAAATTGGATTTTTTTAGAATATCCATGTTTATAGGTAAATGAGGATACCAATAACAATATCTACTTCTAAAGATAGTAATATTTAGAAGGATATATATACATTTGAATTTACTTTGTAAATTATAAGAATTTACAAATATGGATCCTTTTAGTCTCAGATTATCTAATAAGCTTTTGAGAAACATCTACCAGTGTACTATAAATCTATGTGTCTCAGAGAATAGAAGACTCACAGCAGGAGTGGACATTCTCTTCCACATTTTGAAAGGCACGAAATGTATAAAGCAGTGGAGCTTGATAGCATTGGTGTGACCTATAAAATTAGTAAGATTCATTTATTTACTCCTTTTGCAGACAGGCACTTGATTTGCACTAATTAGGGAAGCATTGTGAAGAGAAAAATCAGTATATTCATAAGATAAAAGGATATTTAGAGGGCAAGAAATGTTTCATAGTGAGTTTTTCCCTTTTGGCCTATGCTAGCCAAAATTTTCATTTGTTTAGAGAAACATGCTAAGGAAAAGTGAGGAGAACTGTAAGTCAGAATGCCAAATACCACACTTAAGAGCCAATGCCTCCTTCTGAGGCTCTTATCCTACCCAGATTTAAGGACTGCTCTGACTCTCAAGAAAAAGTTATGTTGTTGGATTAATACTTAGAATTTTGTTTAGCATAATAAAAATTTCAATTTTTGATCTAATTAAAATGTTTTATCTTACAAGAGTAACTACAAGTTATATTAGGGTTTTACCATTTAGACAAAAAAAAAAAAGTTTTGAAAATTCTCAGAACTAGGCTGAAAGGTGGCCAGTGACACTAAATTGTAGTTGACACCTTTTCATTCCTCTGTGAGAGGAGAACAAGGAGACAAAACAGGTACGCTGTGATCTACTTGTTAGCTACCTAATAAGGCAAAGGGAGGGGGACATAGTTACAGAGAGGAATACATAAATAAATACCAAGATTCACAGTGTTTCTATGTATGTGGGATACTTAGAGAAAATTCCAGAATCTCTGAAGGAAAGTTAAGTCAACATGAAATATGTTTCACAAAAAATTTCATTGACATAATTTTGGCAAAGTACAGTATTTTTTGTGAACACAAAGAAGTTGATGGAAAAAGACCAAATATGGTGGTAAGATAGCCCATCATCAAAAATCTGATTTTGCCATGCAAGGCCTTTGAGCTATAGTAGTGGCTAATATGTAATGTTATTGTCTGTGTTGAGTACTGTTTTAGTAGTTAGTCATTCAGTGATAATATCCCTATGAGGGCAATTTTGTCATTGTCTCAGTTATACACATAGAGAAACAAATACAGAGCAATGACTAGGAATAAACCTGCGATATCCCACTTTAAAATATTTATTATTAACCAATTTATTGTATCTAGAATTCTTCTATTTGGTGAGTCTCCAAAAGAGGATAAATACAAATAACATAATTTTGTTCCAAAGGGCAAGAACATTTCAGACATAAATTCTTAAAAATGTTCATAAATGGGAAAGGAATTCCCACAAGAGCAGAGCCTCTAGTGGCCCTCCGTTGGTGCATAATAGTTCAAATATGGTTGCAATGGTATGGTTGTTGCAGTAATTTCATAGAAATGCCTGTTACAGTCATGGTGCTTGTCTCTCACATCTGCACAGTCCCCTAAGGAAAGAACCTGTTTTCAATGACGAGCTCCCAGCCCGCATCCTGTGTGGCTCAGTGACCATTAAGCCTAGTGTGATGAAGTTCACAGAGACCTCCGCTGTATTTGAAGATGGGACTGTGTTCGAAGCCATTGACTGTGTCATCTTCGCAACAGGCTATGCTTATGCCTATCCCTTCCTGGATGACTCCATCATCAAAAGTAGAAACAATGAGGTCACCTTGTACAAAGGCATCTTCCCTCCTCAATTGGAGAAACCAACAATGGCAGTGATTGGCCTTGTCCAGTCCCTTGGTGCTACCATCCCCACAGCTGACCTTCAGGCACGCTGGGCTGCTAAAGTGTTTGCAAGTATGTGGGTCATTTTATTTTTCATTCACTAAGGCAATAATTGCCTACTATAAGCTGATGACTGTGCTAGGAATTCAATGGGAACGAGACAGACACGCAACATGACTTCACAGATGGAGATGGAATGAGGAGGGGATGTTACCACAAGAAAAGTTTCAGGGTGTTCTGATGAGGAGAATTTGTCCAGGATTTATGTATTCCATCTAAAACAACATGAATCGAGCCATACATATGAGGAATTTCACTGAATGTATGAGAGAGTAAGAAAAGCATAGAGGGGACTTTATTAGCTGCATCAAAGAATTTGACCTTCTAACAGTGAAGTTGGGAGGAGTTTGCACAGTTTTATATAAGATAAATGCAATATCAAGATAACTGCAGTGTTAGGGCACTGAAGGGGTTCTGGGGCCAGGGGTGATGGGCATGCCAGAAGCCTGTCATTACCTTTGTATCAACATTGTGTCCCTCTTACAATGTTGAAAGTCTTCTTCCCTTCTCTTTCTCTACTGCAGACTACATAGTCTCAAGGGGCTACAAGAACTCTTATGTGGGGACATATTTATTACATGGGGAGAGGCAGTGACTTAAATATACTTATTTAATGGCTACAATACAATTGATCATCATGATTATGAAATGTGTCTGATTCAATTGGCTAAAAATATTAAGCAACATAAATATAACTCTCCTAGCATACTAACATACTACTTAGAATGAGGAAAATATTAAAGCCACAGAATGAGTTTAACCTTTGTAAACAAAAAATTACTGTGGATACATATGCTTCTATTTCAAATATACAATGAAGAATGGTTATTTAAAAGTATTGTCTTGACATCTTGAATAAAGGCACTATCCTATACAATACTTCCATTGTTTTATTCTCAAAAGCCCAACAGTGTTCCCAGAGCCAGAATTTGACAAGAAGGTTGAATATAGTTCATAAACCTAGAAAACTTACATTAATCAGAGGGCATTGTTTATTCATTTGACAAATATTCATAGAAATCTGCCCTTAACACTTACTTAGGTCACAATTTCAAATCAAATAGACTAAAATTTGATCCCTCTCCTTGCAGTGAAATGCATGGCAAATAATAGCCATAGGGTGCTATCAAGCAGACTATGTTGCTCACAGCGTCTAGGTGGTGTTCATGCACCACAAATGTCATAGTCACCTTCTTCTGTTGTTATACAGGTAATTGTTACATTGCTACAGTCATAAGTGATGAAATTTGAGAAAAAAAAAAGGTTTTTCTGCCATCCCTTTTAAACATCCAGATGAATGCTGACATTGGAATCCTGTGCCTCCTCTTATTATCTACTTGACTTACTGTGGACTTTAGCATCAGCTATTGTTCCAGATTATTACTTAAGGGAAATTTTAATAGGAGGATATAGGCAAGATGTATGAACACAATTGCCCCACTACATGGGATGAGGTACTGCAGAGGTATGCTGAGGACCAGGCTCTTCATGATGTTACATAAACATTAAGAAGGTTGGGTAACTTCAAGCTACAGACATCTCTGCTCTGATCATTACACACGAGCTGGCTTTTCCATCCCCACAAAGGCATTTACCTCCCAGATCTCTGTATTTGTGAACTTTGATTTGGCTAATGACACCAAAGAAAGCCCTTCCTAAGACAAAACTTTTTTATTAAATAAAACCACTTTATTATAATGAACTCACAATAAAAACATCACACGGCTGAATTAATGTAGCCATTAAAACACTTTTTATGGATTTGTTTAATAAATAATGAATCCTATCCTGATCTTTATGAAAGACTAATGTCATTGTCTTTTTTTGATGTCTCTCTCTACCCATACTTTTTCCAGACGCATGTACCCTGCCAGCTACAAATGAAATGATGGATGACATAGATGAGAAAATGGGCAAGAAACTGAAGTGGTAAGCAATTACACTTGCTAAGCAAATGAGTTCTAATTTTTTCCTTATGCATAGAAAACATCAATAAGGTCTTTAATGTTGCCAACATTAACAGTTGTTTATTTTTTTTTTTAATTCTGGCTATAACTGATCCACATTAGGTGGGAAAAACACTCTCTGCCCCTATAAACTTAGAAAAGAGTGATTTTGCTTTCCAGAGAACATTTGAAATCTAGAGACAACTGAAGTCATCAAGTAGAGTTGGCAGCCAGAAGTTTCCTATAAGTAAGACACCTGGGTGCTAGAGCCATCCTGTGCCACAAAAGAGCAGTTCAGAAAACATGGAATCATCTGGCTCAAAATATCCATAGTGATGAGGCTGAGAATTATCTCCATATCTTTTCCCCAAGGCACCTTCTCTTAAAGAAAACTTAGCTGGCTGGAAATTGAGCAATAGAATCTAATTTGCTCTTGATAAATTCAAACAAAAATTTATATTTAGTTCAACTACCTTAGTATATTCCAGGAGAGAAAGTATTCATCTCCAAGTTCAATACACACTTTCAAGTAGAAAGAACTTTATGTGGCTAGGTCAAAATGTTAATTATTCCATAAAAGGAAATTCCTTTTAAATTATCTACCATAATCTGTTTCAAGTATAATTAAATACCAAATCGCTGTTGGAGAAGTAAACAATTATGTAGGAAGTTTGTTTCCTCTTTCCAGACTCCAACAAACCATTCAGTGAATGTCCCAGGGTAAACATCAAATCAAGGGTATAGAGGAGGAAAGAAATGGAACCCTCAGTCCCCACTTAACCTCACCCAAATCAAAGGGTATGTCTCAGAAGTGAGCCCTTCTAATGCTAATACTTCCTTTAGAAGGGAATACAAGTAAAAAGAAGGAAAAAATGTTCAACTATCAGTGGCAATCTGTTCTTTAAGTCACTCGAGGCCACACTCCAACTAAAAGGATGACAATGATCTATGTTACTGCACTCCAGCAGCATTGAAAATATGCAAAATTTAAACTTCAAATAAACCTGCATAAGACTCTAACATTGGCAGACTGGATGTGATGTGCAAGAGACATAAATTACAGGATTAATGCTCCATTTGCAACTGTGAAGATCATTTGATTTTTCTGTCTTCAGGTTTGGCCAGAGCCACACTCTGCAGACAGATTACATCTCATACATGGATGAGTTGAGCTCCTTCATAGGGGCCAAGCCTAACATACCCTGGCTCTTCTTGACTGATCCCCGGCTGGCCCTCGAGGTCTTCTTTGGCCCCTGTAGTCCATACCAGTTTCGACTGATGGGACCGGGAAAGTGGGATGGAGCCAGAAATGCCATCTTGACCCAATGGAAGAGGACAGTGAAGCCAACCAGGACAAGGGCAGTCGGTGAAGCACAGAGACCCAGTCACCTGTATGACTTTCTAAGAATGCTTTTCTTCCCAGTGATCCTTCTGGCTGTTTTGCTCACGTTTTATTAATAGTAAAATCTTTCCAGTGCCAGAGTCTAGCCCACAGTTGTAATCACAGAGTACAATAAACACATGGAGGCACACACAATCACCAAAGGCCCCTCCTTTCCTTCCGGCAGATGTGAAATGAATCCTGGATCATTTAACTCAAAAGATAAATAAAACAGAAAATAGCCAGCCTATCTGTTTCTGATGAAAATCTTTTCCTTAATAAGCTTTTCACATGTTGAATTGAAGTTTGGGATGTTTGAGATAAGGAAGGAAATAGAAGGGAAGTTGAAAAGACCAAATTTAATGAGCTTTGTAAAGAGTGTGTTATCTTATGTATTGCAGCATAACAACCAACATTAACTGAAGTATTTAACAATAAATGGCTATAGGGAGATGGGGTTGTACCACTACAACATCTTAAATAAAACGAGCAAATTGAAAATTGTTAGGAGGAGATCTGAATGTGTAGCTCAGTGACAAGAGAGAGTGCCTGACCGGCATACACAAGACCCTGTATTCAATCCCCAGGAAAAGAGAAGACAGGAAAATATTCCCACTATGAAGTTCAAAACCAAGATGGCCTCAGTCACGAATTCTATCAAATATTTGAGAATCAGTGGTACAAATTCTGTAAAAATTTATTAGAAAATACAAGAAAATATTAGTCTCTGATTATTTTATGAGCCTGTCCTCATTCTGAAACAAAACAACAAAAAATCTAGACCAATATCCCTCGTATGCATATACACATGCAAACATTCTTCATAAATGCAAAATATAACTCAACAGTATATTAAATAAACAGCATATCATCAAGCATGACATTCCAGGAACAGAACGCTGGCTTCATGGTTAACATAATTCATCTTACTAATAAACTAGGCTAAAAACGGGAATACCATTTGAGCTAAATTAAAATATCTTAGAAGCAATACAAAATGCAAAAACTCCATTAAAATTATAAGTTGGACTCCATCAGGATTAAGAATAGTTCCGATATTCCCCTTGGGGAAGGGAATAGTAAATATATACATATCTTTGGCAACTATTCTAATTTTACATATAATAAAATGAATGATGAATATCCCAAACTATCAACTTGGAGATATAGAACACAGAAGAAAAAAAAATGAATTTCAGAAAAAAAAATCCATAACAGTCTATCCCAGTAAACAGGGGGTATAAGTAGCTTTACATTACTTGGTCCTGGGTTATAGCAAACATAATCATGGCCTTTTTCATTTTTACCAACCAAAGAAATAAAACCAAAGGATTACTGAGGAGTAGCCAAGGGCCAGGAAATATGTTGACCAAAGAGACATTTTATTTTCAGCATTTGGGAGCTTAGGCTGATCAATATGAAATATGTATTTGGGTGCATTTTTGTATGATCAAATCTGATGTAATTACTATACCAAACAAAGTCATTAATGGTAAAAAAAAAAAAAAAAAAAAAAAAACAATTCCTTTACCAGTACATTATTATGGACCTCAGTCTTACAGGTAAAACTCTCTGCTCTGTGTCTGCTGACACAAAAGAAACCACAACTTTAATGTCACACTTTGCTACAAACTAGCACAGACTAAGACACTAAATATTAAATAAAATAATATATTCATCACTGGTACCATAGAAATTAGGTTCTCATTCTCTTCTCTCTGTTATTTTTTTGTCCTGCTGTGACTGAATCATTTGCAAAGATTTCTTCATTTCTCTATCTGAAGACATGTTTCTAACTATCACCATTATCCTGACCTACTTCACAATGAGGAAATCAAAGCTCTCAGGCAGCCCAAGGATTAAAGGTAAAGCTAATCCTTTTACACTTTGATCCAGTGTTCTTTCCAAAAGCAATTTGACTGCCACTTCCTCTAAACAGCTCATTCCAACACTGACAACCAAGAGAACATTAGCATAACCCCCCCATGTATGAGTGGGTAGCACTCTTCATAAATATGTATAAATGCATTGTGTCTGTTTTATCAATAAATGCACATGTAATACTTACATATGTATATTATACACACAAATATAGTGCATAGAGTGTACCTGTGCATGTATAGATACATTATACATACACTATTAATATAAATAAATATAAATACCTGCTCAACTAGGAGAAAAGCTAAAGTTCTTATCATCTATGTGTCAAAATGCATAAATGCAAAAACACAAGTGAACAATTGACATTACCCATCTAACTTAAAAAACTTAAAGTGCCCCAGATACACGTCATCATGTAAAATTTTATTTTCAGTAAAATAGAGAAGTAACAAAATAACTTCACATTTTCCCACTTGTATAGTTGTACATATATATGTACAAAACATATATATGCACATTTATATGATTATATGCCAATTATATAATTACATAACAATTATATAAGTGTTAGATATACACAGGAAGCCGATTGTCATCAGTGGTTTTCTCTGAAGATTGGATTAGGACTGGGAAGAGGTGGGGCAGATAGACACTGACACTTTTTTTTTTTGTTTACCTTTTCGTGGTTGGAAATTTTTCTATGAAAATATGTGAGTTGTGCTTTTTTTAAGATTTATTTTATTTTCAATTATGTGTATCCATGTGTAGAAATGTGCACATGAGTTCAGGTGCCTGCAGAGGCCAGAGGCTTCCAATTCTCTGGAACTGGAGTTACAGGCTGTTGTGAGACACCTGATTTGGGTGCTGGAAATCAAACTGGGATCCTCCTCAATAGCAGTGTAATCTCTCAACCACAGAGCCATAGCCCCAGTCCATTGTGTTAGGTTAGTTAAGAATTAACTTTGAAAGTCAAGTCATCCATTGTGTGTGTGTGTGTGTGTGTGTGTGTGTGTGTGTGTGTGTGTGTGTGTGTGTGTGTGTGTGCTTGATTGCTCTTCAAGAAGAGATGAGAAACAGAAACTTATGTCATGAACAAAATCCAGCCTCAACTGAATACTGTTTTCTTCATTTCTGAATGTCCTGTAATGTGACAAACCAACCACAACCCTGTGTTTTGATGAGGAAGAAGTTTAACATGATCTTTTTTCTTCTTCTTCTTCTTCTTCTTCTTCTTCTTCTTCTTCTTCTTTTTTTTTTTTGGTCTTTTTTTGTTTTGTTTTGTTTTTAATCTATATTATATAACAGTAGTTATTGTGATATGCTGGAGAAAGCTATGATTAGTGAATTATGTACTGACTGGAATGCACTTTATCAAAACACACAATAGTATATAAACAAAATGTCAAACCAAGCCTGTGGGTAACCAATAAATCCTCAGCACTCACCCTGTGAATAAATATCTGGGGCCAGAGATACCCAGAATTATAAGGAAAAAAGATGCTTTACCCTCATAAGGAACAAAAGCTAAAATAATGAAATTATGTAGGCTCCTAGTAACTTGTGTGACCAATTCTTCAAGATAAATCACCAGACAAATGCTAAGATGGAGAGCAAGATGGCACAGGTTTCATTAGCACCAGCCACCTCCTCTCTTCCCCACTGCTACAGGTATGAACAGAGTGTGTGCCTCTTCAAAGCACGTAAAAGCCTTCTCATTACCTTCTGATAGGAAAACAGCTAAAGAAAGGTAGAGGTAAGAAGAAACTCTACATGAATTTCTAGCCAGTTTTACATAAATATTAACCCATCTTAGGTCTCACTAAATGTCGATGGAGAAGTCATGGCATCATGCAGACAGAGAGCTAGAGTTTGGGGCCAACTTAGGTATCTAAAAGCAAAGATCTCAGACAAGTATTTGCTCTGACTGCCTCTTGTGCTCATTTCCCTCGCCCTTCATCCTCCCCGGGCAAGCCCTAGAAAACACAACTCTTCTTTCCCAAGGAAAGTCATAAAAGCCAAATTCTTTCCCCCAAATCAGCCATAAAATTTGAAAATATTTCTCAACCTTCATCCCACTTGTCCAAGATTTGATCATAAGGAACTGTCTGATCTTATCTTGTCTGAGAGAAGCTCAGAAAGGATCCAATCCAAGGTCAAGAGGGGAGGAACTGGTGCACAGACACCAAAAAGAGTCTAAACAGTCACTGCTGGGTTCTCCCTCCATTGTCTGCTGTTCTCAGAACTTATCCTTTCATCTAACCATAGTTCCCTATGACTGTCCATTCTTCATCAAATCCATGAAAGTGCAGAGTTTACATCCATTCCTTAGGGCTTGATCTCAGAACAATCAAGCCATACAAAACTGTGATCATATGAATTTATATACCTTCACTTCTAATTGCCTCTTGTAATAGGAATATAAGCAATAACCCTTTAGAAAAGACATGAAAGAAATGATTCCTTTTTCTGGTCCTACATTAGTTATGGCTTCTGTTTTTAAATTTGTGGGGGGGGAACCCAATAAATACAATGAACATTTATCTACTTCCAAAAAAAAAAAAAAAACTGCAATCAGTTACTATGGCAACACATAATCTACAAAGGAATTACAACTAAATGAGGATCTCTTTGCTATGAATGTATGCTTCAAGATCACTGTCACGTTTGCAAGTGCTCATACTGCATTTGTTTCAAGGGAAATCATTTTCAAATGTTTCCCTACTTTACCCTCATGGTTTGAAACTGGAAGAACCATGACCACCATTTCTGTGCACTGCTTGCTTTTCTTGCTCAATGCTATTATTATCAGATGCATGCTTTTTATTGCATAAAACTGCATTTTACTTTTTTCCATCATGTGAAACTTTTATTGATAGAAATACATTACAAGAATCTTAACTGCTCTTCACTGATGAGTATTTCGATTATTTACGGTTTATTTTTTGTATCTAATATTGCTACTACTGCCATAAACTGCTTCATGCTTGTCATGCTGTTTACTTGTGCACCAGAGTTTCTTCTAGTGCCCATGTCTGGTTTCCTATTCCACCAGTCCTCTTTTCCTCCCTTCCATCTACCTGGACTTAGCTCTCACCACCTTCCTTGTCTTTATGGTAATAGAGTATTTTACTAGATGCCTCATGTAGTGGTGTACTCTTCTGAAAGACTAGAAAAGTTCAAGTATTTAACACTAGATTAAGGGTGGGGGAAAGCTCATCAGTCCCCCAATTTTATAGTTCTTGTTTATTTTATAGGACTTTATTTTTCCTTCCTTTTCCCCTGCACTTCCAGATTGCTCTTTTTCTGTTTTCTGTT